ACAGGGTCGAACATCAAGTACTGTAAAAGGAGGGGGGCGGTATCTTGGGAATAAATGTCAAGAGCCGTCATGCCTCGAGAAGTTAAATGGGGAGTGTCACAGGAAGACACAGACCAAACGCTAAAGGACAAGGGAGTGATCAACGAGGTGGCAATTGAAAGGTTAAAGGTCGTCGATCACAGCAAGTGAGGAGGAAATATCGTTTTTGCGCTCAAGGAAGTCTCTACTACTCAGGCAAGCTTGTTGCAGCAGCTCAGCTCCATTGTAGGAGTAGTAGCAGCTATTAAGCGACGACAGTAGGCCTACTTGAGCAATGCTAAAGAGAGAGACGTCGTGATTCGCAAATCCCTCGTGCGAAATTTCTCTTGCCCATTTCCGTCTTTACAAAAATTTCCAGAAGACAAATTTGATGTTGAAAAAGAAGAGGATGCAGTAAGGATGAAGAAGACTAGTAGGGGAGTGGAGTTCCTCTACCTGACCAAATTTCGTGTTTGTTTGTCTACTTTTAATTTCTGTCTTTCAAATTTAGTAGTTGTTTTCTATTTTATGCATGTTTCATTAGTGCAAATTTAGTAGTTGTTTTCTATTTTATGCATGTTTCATTAGTGCAGCTTTAAAACTTAGTTCTACTTTTTTTTTCTTTCTTTTTAATTTTTTTAATTGGTTGTTAGCCTGATGCACATTCTCCATTTGCCATTGGGCTTCCTTACTAACACGACAATGGATATCCACTGGGGGTAGTGCACCTCTCGAATGAAACTTGCTTTCAGTAGATCATTTACCTGTTTAGCCACAATCTCGTTCATTTCTTGGTTGAAGRCACGACGTTTCTGTTTCACTAGTCGACAGCTCCTGTCGACGTTGAGTCGGTGCACCATGACTTCCCAATCGTTTCCTAGCATGTTCCAATGTGACCACGCGAATACGTCGGCGTTGCTTCTGAGGAAATTTATGAGGTTCGTCTTTTCCTCACTTCCTAACCTGGTTTCAATGTTGACCCGTCGATCCTCGGATGTCAAAGGGATAGACTCCACCTCCTCGACCGACTCTCTCATTCTGATGGTGGACGGATCTAGTTAATGATCAGGGCTTGGGCATATCTCTCCCGAGTGGTCGATTGCCCCGCTCAGGCTCTTCTTTTCGAAACACTGTTGACCCCCATCGGGGTTCAATCAACTTGCTTCATTCCAATCTCCTCCGATATGGGCTTGTTTTGGCTAATTTTGTTTTGAATTTCATAATCATTCCCATAGACGGCGCCAATTATTGATGCTGGAAATTTGGCCTCCTCGGTTCTCGCCAAATATGCACCCAACTCGATGAACACGGGACCAGATACCTGCAAAACTGAACAACTCTAGACCGTTGTGACTTCGGTCACACTGGCTCTGATGCTAAAGTCAGTGATGTGAGAATTATTGAGTGAAGTAACTAGGGTTTTCCTTGTTTACCTCTAGGGTTCAACCAGTGGTTTCATTTATAGAAGTCTTGCCTTCTTGAACCTTCTCGTTGTGTCCATCTATCCGTCGTCACTGGATCACACGGATTCATGGACCGGGGTACCTCAACCAATGGGAGAGGAGAGAAAGTGGGCTCGGCCACTGGGCCGAGCCCTGGTCAGCGCCGAGCCGGGGTCAAGACCAAGCCTCGACTTGCTCAGTCTGTCGCTGGGTTCGGGTCTCTCTGGTCTGTAGAGGCTCATTTCCTTGGCTGGATCTAATCCCATAACAGTTGCCCCCATTCTCGAGATGATGTTTTTCTGGTCATCTGATCTCATCATTTCGAGAGTACATCTATAGATGTTGGAATATCTCGGATCGGCTTTAGCCAGTAGTTCCATTTATAGGAAATCTATCTTCTGGAACTTTCTTGTTGAGCTCATCTAATATGTCGTCG